GTTGTCCAGACACCAGCGAGCCCCCAGACCGAACACCCGCAGACCTCATGCAGGGACCACAGGCTCCAGCCCTGTGCATCTCAGGACAGTAAGTGCTCTTTTGGGGCCCCCGAAAAGGGGAGGCCTAACTTCTTATCTCTCAAGTGAGGAACCAGCTTGACAGTGTCCCTGTGCCAGTGAAGCCACTCTGCCAAGCTCCTGTTAACCCCTTGTCAGGTCTTTTCAATGATTGGGTGCAGAGTCTGAGGGTCATCTCCGGGTGTGTAGGAGGTGCCTGCATTGTGCCGGAGGTGAGTGGCTTGCTTTCACGAGTAAGCAGCTGCTTGAGGGGACTCAAATACCCAGCCAGGCGCAGGATGGAGGTGCTGGGTGAGAAATCCCTCGTCTTTTCAGGCTCTTTATTGTGCTGCAGTGTTTTGACCACAGGGCCGCCTTTATCTGTCTGAATAGGGTGCATGTTTGGTGTCCTCTGGGGGCGCACCTGAAAGGGGTGGGGATTATGGGAGAGAATGGCTGGAGATTATGGGAAAGAGGGGTTTCCTGATCAGTAACAGAAGGGGTTCTGGGCCTGAGCATTCATGGTCAGGCTGGGGTCTGGCCCACCAGCCACAACAATCATCCAGGTGGTACACAGAGGCACCAGTGTGGCCACTGGGAGCTGCCCAGGCAGCAGGCTGAAGATCTGGTGAGCACAGTGGTGGGGCCCACCACCACCACATGAGGAGTCATCTGGGCAAGAGGCCAGGTGAAGCAGAGCCACTGGCCCTCGTTGGCCAGGGCCACTTCCGTCAGGACAGGGACTAGAGAGAATGGAGCCTGCAAGCCCTTGGGCTGCCAGGACACATCAAGGCGGGGCAGAGCTGTTGTCCCTGGACCAGGAGCAAGGGTGGCATAGGTCCTGGCCAGGGCAGTGGCAGGGGCATGTTCCAGGTGGCTGGCGGTTCCCTGGACACCCTCAGGGCAGGATGACAGGCCGTCCTATGGCTATGTTGTGCTGGGCACAGGAGGGACGCCCAGGGCTGCCGGCCTGCCCTCCACCTGCCGAGATGCAGACTTAATGCCCCCTCTCCTCTTCATCTTCCCCAGGAGGTGTGGGCTGTCTCTCTTAAACAGGGGACTGCAGCAGAACTGTAACTGGGGTTCACTGAGAGAGAGAGAGAATAGCAAAGTCCGATTCTCAAAAGGCTTATGGAATAAGCACCCTCCTGGCTAGGCCCCTGGGTGCCCTCACCCAGGCATCCCCAGGTCTCATGGAGAAAATGGGACCCTGTCTCACAGGAGGCGGTGCCCCAGCTTGCACATCCTTGAGACTCGCTAACTCACCATCGGCTCTCACCTTTGGAAAATGACTCTGAGTGGCCCAAGAGTATCTGTACAAGGACCGGAGAGGGGACATGGCATTTGCAGTGGGCAGACTGCAGAAGCTTCTCTGCTCTCTATGCAGGGGTCAACCCCTGGTCTGCACTTCCTCGGCTGACCAGGACACTTCCCAGCAAAGGACCTGTGCTTCCCTGCACTAAACTTCTTCTCCACAGCTATGAGAGTCACGTGCTTAGTCAGTCAGTCATGTGTGACTCTTTGCGACCCCATGGACAGTAGCCCACCAGGCTCCTCTGTCTGTGGGGATTCTCCCGGCAAGAATACTGGAGTGGGTTGCCATGCCCTCCTCCAGGAGATCTTCCCAACCCAGGGATCGACCCCAGGTCTCCTGCCTTGCAGGGGGATTCTTTCCAGTCTGAGCCATGAGGTAATCATGGTGGCACACAATCCCCTCCCCCCACCTGCCTCCACACAGGGTCCATTTGTGTCTTGGCTGGAGGACAGGAAGGTCTAGAATTTGAGCAGTGTCATCTCTTTCCCCCGTGTGACTGTGATCTAAGGGCCCATGAGTCAGCAGTACAGAGTGACTCCTGGCCCCCGGGTATCATGACCTGATCCGTACTGTGCATCCAGTTCACCTCCGTCATCTCACATAGATATCCCCACCAGAGAAAGAGAGGAGGGGCAGTGACTTCTTTGTGCTGAGAACGCTTAGGATCTCCCTCTCACAACTCCCCAACACAGCACGCAGCACTGGCAGCTCATGCAGACACGCTGGTCCCCAGTCCTGTCTTTACACACAGCTTCTCGGCAGGCCAGCCACCGTCCCCTGCGGCCCTGAGGCTGGCACCCACCTGGTCACCAGGGTCCAACAGATACTCCCCCGCCCTTACCTTGCTCAGGACTCACAGAGCTGGCACCTCTGTGAGCATCCTGGTCAGGAAGAGGGAGGTGAGCACATCCTGGTGCACTTTGCTGAATCCATACAGGCTAACCTGGCAGAACCCAGTCTGAACCCCGTATGTTAGGAAGTCAGCTGCCTATACCAGGTCCCCAGTTTGAGATTGGATGTCAGGAAGTCAGCCCCCTATACCAGGTCCCCAGTCTCTCTGAGACCGGGATGTCAGGAAATGCAGCATATGTTCATCCACCCTATGTCCTCCCAGAGCCCATCTGCTCTGGGGTTCAGGGTCCCCTCAGTCCTCCCTCAGCATCCTCACCTTGACCCTCCAAAGAACTAAGATCTTCCCCTCTGCCCAGTTGAGGCCCTGCCCCTTCTGACAGTTGCCTAATGTATCTGAGACACAGATGCGGAAGTCAAAACAGGCTACCAAGTGTTCATCCCACCAGCAGGGTGGCTCAGGGCTGACAGCAGGGGTAGGCATCTGTGGGGTTCCTTATAATCTCCCTCAGGGATCTCATCTTGAGCCCTGGCAGATCCCGGGATGCCCCCTATGTTGACCAGAGGTGGGACCCTCACATCAAGGCTCAGGGAGCACAGAGGGTGGATGAGCACATGCTACATTACCTGGCATCCAGGTCTCAGAGAAACTGGGGACCTGGGAGAAGGGGCATGTCCTCAAGTGAGCAGAGGGAAGAAGCCCAGCTCCTGCGGAGTTTCAATTTGGGGACTCTGAGGGAGGACTGAGGGGACCCTGACCCCAATCAAAAGAGACCTCAGAGAAGCCTGTAGCTGCTGTTGGTCCTTGGTGGTCGTGGGGTAGGATGAGCCCAAGGTGCGTGGTCTCACACTCTGACATCCAGGTCTCAGACTGGGTACCTTGGATATGGGGTAGGGCCTCAGGTGGTCCAATTCCCAGGTCTGGCGGGGTGTCAGGTTGAGGACCCTGAGGAGGAGAACTAGAGGACCTTGGACTGCAATCACAGGACACCTCAGAGAAGCTCGTTTCTGTTGTCAGTCCAGGGCAACCGTGGGGGTAGAATGAGCGCAGCAGGCACGGTCTGACTTCCTGACATCGGGGTCTTGGAGAGACCGGGCCCTGGTATAAGGGGCGGGGCTTCAGTTGGGGAGAGCCGAGAATCCCGGGTCCTGCTCAGAGGCAAGGCGAAGTGCCTGAGGGAGGACTGAGGGGACCCTGCGTGAGGACCGACGGAACCCCACAGATCCCCGCCCCTGTAGTCGATCCTGGGAGAGCTTGGGGTAAGAAGAGCACACTGCCTGTCTGCCTTCCTCACATGCTGGTCTCAGAGAGACTGGGGATCTCGTGAAAGCGGCACGGTCTCAAAATGGCGGAAGGGACAGTCCAGGACAGTCCGCGTTCCTGCCTGGAGTCCAGGCTGCATTTGAGGATGGAAAGAGGCAGAAAGACCCCAACAGGGAGACACGGATCCTGGCCCTTGTGTGGACTCTTGGGGGCCCTAGAGCGGGGCGAGCAGTTTCTTGGCCTCTGGCTTAGGGACCTTGGGAGGTGAGGTTTTTCCGGCGGAGGGTGGAGACTTCAGGTCGGCAGAGGCTGGGCTCCCCAAACCCGAGGGGGGACTGAGGAGACCCCCGCCCCTGTGGTCAGTGCTGGGAGGACAAGGCAGGACGTGAGGAGGAGTTGAGGACTGAGCATCTCCCCAGCCTAGGACACACAGGAAACCCTAGGTAGGTGCGGCTGCTGCATGTGGAGCCCCTTAGCGCTTTCTGTTCAGGCTCGCACCTTGTTCAGAATTTCCATGCAGGTCCCCATAGGGGAGGGACTGGGCCGTGCCAGGGGAAAGGTGAGCACTACAAGGGAGCTGTGAGGGGACCTCCTACCACACAACTTGGGGGACCTCGCAGAGTCTACCCCTCATACTGTCATGGAAGGCTCAGGGCTGTGCCACAGGATACCGCAGAGCTGCCCCCTCCCTTTCTCTCACAGGACTCCAGGAACCAGTAGAGGAAGGCAGAAGACTGAGGCTCCAGTCCTGAGGTCAGAGGGCAGAGGTGGTCCAGGCAGTCCTAGGAGTCAAGGTGAGGAGGGTGCCCTGAGTGTGCACCAGGAGCTCCCCATCCCAGAACAGAGGGGACCCCACAAGGGCCTAATCCCCCACCTTGTCAGCCCTAGAAATGTCAGACTGTGCTGACTGCACCATGGGAAGACACCTCACTTCCTCCTTCAGGTAGCCAGTGGACTGGCTGCCCTGGAGGCTTGCCCCTGTGAGGTCTGAGAGCACCCCTCAAAAGGAGACCTGTAAGTGGCCTGTGTGAGACCGCCCAGGGTGTGGTTCTCAGCTGAGGCCAGTCACAGCTCCTCTCTCCCCTAGCCTGGCCCGTGATCCCCATCTATTCTCCTGCCTCACTCCTGTCTGTGGTTTGATCCCAGGCATCGTGCTCGTGGTCGAGATGAGTGAGCTGAGCAAGCCCGAGGAAGACTTTCAGGACCCTGGCGAGGCCCAGTGCCCAGTGAATTGTGCAGCTCTTGGGGGCTGAGGCAGAGGTGGCTGCATCCGCCTCAGCCTCCTCCCTCACAGTGTCCTCCGTAGCCACTGGGGAGTTCTTGCCCCCGGAGGCTCTGAAGGAGATGAAAGCTAACCTGATCAAGTTCCTGCCCTTCAAGTATCTAGCTAAGGAGCTGACCTCCCAGGCGGAAATACTGAAGAAGGTCCTCAGGGATAACCAGGAGCACTTCCCGGTGGTCTTCAGCCAAGCCTCGCATTGCCTGGAGCTGGTCTGTGGTGTGGAGGTGAAGGAGGTGGACCCCAGGGAGCACATCTACATCATGGTCCCCAACCTGGGCCTCACCTGTGATGTGATGCTGAGCAGTGGGCAGAGCATGCCCAAGGCCGGCCTCCTGGTGCTGATCCTCAGCCTGATCATGCAGAATGGAGACCGCGCCCCTGAGGAGAAGGTCTGGGGAGCACTCAGCAGATTGGGTGTGTGTGTCGGGAGTGTGCACTGTGTCTTTGGGGAGCCCAGGACACTTCTGACACACGTGTGGGTGCAGGAGGGGTACCTGGAGTACCGGCAGGTGCCTTACAGCTACCCTGCTCGCTATGAGTTCCTGTGGGGTCCCCGGGCCTATGCGGAGACCAGCAAGTGGGAAGTCATGGCATTTCTGCTCAGGATCAAAGAAAGGGCTTCGAGGGCCTTCCCACCCCTGTCTGCAGAGGCTGCAAGGGAGGAGGATGAGGCTGCCTGAGCCAGAGCAGGATCCAGGTGATCCTTTCCTCTGTGATTGAAGACGGAGCAGTCAGCCTTCTCAGAAGTGAGGCCCTGGGGCACTTTGGGGAACCAGTGTATAGCATCTTTGTGTTCCTGTTCTCTATAATGACTTGGAGATTCACCTGTTTTCCTTAGAAAAAATTCAAACTTTGCTTGCTTTCATAGAAGACTAAATAAACGTCAGTGACTTAGCTTCACGAATGATGCTGATCACAGTGCGTTTGTGCTTATCCAATTCATGAACAAGAGTTTTGCTGTTTTGTAAAAGATATTGGAAACTCTTCCATTGTGTTTTGTGGTCCTGAACAGAATGCAATGGAATTGGAATTAGAACTGTTTTGGAAAAGTGAGCTTACTTAGCAGTAACATTGATGGGGGATGAACTAGATGATAAAAACAATTGTAGAGAATTCATGTTTCTGCCCTTCTTGTGTGTCATTTTCAAAAACTAAATTATCTCTTGTGCACTTGGATTTGCCTGGGTTATTTAAGGAAGTAGCAGATAATTAATTGAGCCCCCTGCTCACTGGCTCGTGTATTCCAAAGACCTTTACGGAGCCTCTGCTCTGTGAAAGGCTGGGTTTGTAGTGGGGACACTAGGAGAAGCAGGACACCCCTGCACCTAGAGCGATGCTCTAGTAGCCCTAGTCACACAAAGAAGGTGGAGAGAAGTCCCCTAGTCACACTAAACAAGGCAGCATGGGCCAGGGCGGTGAGGCTCCAGGAGGAGCCCTGGAATGTCAGTGTCTGAGCCAGAGTGTTCTGGGGCTTTGGGAAGCTGGGTTCCTTCTGTGGGGGGTCATCGTGATGAGGCTGCATGATGGCATCCCTCAGACCTGCCGACAGTGTATCTTGGGGGTGACAGGAAAGTCTGAAATGAATCATTGGTGTGAGCTGTCCTTTTGCATCTTGGATAAAACACAGAGAGATCTCTTGCTGGGGTGGAAAGGGAGGGGTCCTGACAGTTGTTGCATTGCTGTTGACCACAGGGGCAAAGGAGGTGTTTTCTACCACTGCCCCACCATCTGCTCAGAAGCCTGGAGAAAGGTGAATGTTGCTTTGAAGTATGGCCAAGTATTCCCTGGGTTGGCCCTCTTCTCTCTGTCCTGGGAAAGCTGATTACCAATATATTGAAATGAGCACTGACTTGGTCATCTGGACTTTATTTTGGCCACTTGTGAGCATGGTCTAGATTTCAGAGGGATGAAATGAGTGAATGTGGGGAAATCCTGCTGGGTGACTGGATCCTGGGAACTTTGATTCCCAGCCAGTAAAGACACTGTTTCCCACCCCCTCAAACACACACTAACAGCCAAATTGAATAATATAACCTCTAGGAGGAAAACACACAGAGCCGCAATTTTGACTGGTTTTCTATTCCGTTTCCTATTGAGCTGGCAATCCTATGAGGTGTCTTGAAAACAAAGCTATTTCCAGAGGAGAGAGGGACAGAGTCTGAGATCCGAATAACACAAGAAATAAGTGCTAGCCAGGAAAGATGCAACATCCACCAGCGTCCCCGGGTTCATGCAAGTTCAGAAGTGTGGAGACAGCAGAGACTCACAGGCTAAGGCTGTGCCTGGCATCAAATGACAGGAGTGAGTTCTGGGCCTAAGGAGGTGGTGAGGTCACTGCAGTGGGGTGTGCGTGTGGGTGCAAGGGGCTGAAGGGGCAGCTCTCCATGCTGAGTGCCAGAGAACAATGGGAACAGGAGATGTGATTCTGGCCACACATGTGGTCACTGCCACATAATCAATGGACACTTGGAAAAGGTGGAGAATTTCAAGACCCATGTGACCTGCTCAGACTCTCTTCCCCAAAACATAGGAGATTTTGTCTTTTTTTTTTGAGATTTTGTCATTATAAATTCTGACTGCTGCTCTTTGTTGAGCATCTGTTAGGCAGTGTGGAATTGGAGAGATGTTAGGTGCTCCACCACCTCTTGTCTTCCTCTCTCCCTGCACACATGGGGACATGAGCCTGCCAGGCCTCTTCACTTAGGAAGGGTGATGTGATGACCCGTGATCAGTGAACTTTGAGAAGAAGCATTTTTGTCATGACCATTTGTTTTGAAGGGACACAGGCACCTGGGAGTTAATCCTCAAATCAGGACAACACTAAGACACAGACCACTCCGAGTGAGGTTTTTCTTCCAGAGACTAAAGTCCTATGACCCTTGAAAGAGGCTGCCCACAGGGAGCTGGCTACAGGAATTCCACGCACCCCCAACCCACAGCGTGCCCCCACCCCCGCTGAGCTGCACTGTGAGTCCCCTCGGGGTTCTGCTCGGTCTCCATCAGAAGGACAGCAACCAGCTGTCAAAGGTCCCTGTTGGAGTTGGGAGCATCCTTCACATCCTTCTCATGGGCCCCAGCCACAAGCCACACCCCTCCCCCGACACACCCCTGCTGCCCACAGTGCCCCCACTCCCTCAGAACCTGGCCTTGGGTTTTGTCCTACCTGCCCCCCCACTGAGAGTGGCTTAGGCCCTGATCCTGATGACCTCATGTGTGTATCTTTATCTGGAAGTCCCAGAGCAGCGTCCCCTTCCACGGTGCTAAAGGTGGAGCTGGCAGGACTTGACTCTCCTTGTGGACGCTCAGTAGTAATCATTGCCACGGATGCATGGGCACATCTCTATGATCCTGAGGTGTATCAGACCATTCCCTGTGGAATCCCACGTGCTGGAGAAAACTAAGGGTCTTCTAAATGTGACTGTAAGGTCATGGCTTTCGAAGTTGAGTATGAGAGGCAGAGGGGTGTCTGCTCAGCCACCTGCAGAGCCAACTAGGAGCCAGTCGGACTGTTTGAACAGAGGACAGGCTCTAGCAGATGGCAGGGGTGGTACCCAGGATGCCCTCCTAGGTGCCAGAGGCTCCAGACTCAAAGGAGGATTTGGAAAGGAACCAGGCAGGAGAGGACACTGTGGTCCCAGGAGTGCAGGCTGCAAAGAGAGTCGGCTGCCCCAGAGAGGTGGAAGCAGCAAGCCCCTGGAGATCCCATCTGACCTGCCCAGGGCTGGTCAGGAGAGGGAGTGGGGAGGAGATGCTGCTGCAGGTGAGCTGCCGCCCTGGCCTCCATGAGATCATCTGTGCTCTGAGGCCAAGGCCGGGACCACAGCCCCGGGGGGGGGGGGGGCACTCCAGGATGGACATGTGACAGCCATCATAACAGGTACTCCTCATGCCCCTTATTGGATATGACTGTTAGGTGTGGGTGGGATCTTGCTCTGGGTACCTAAGAACCTCAGGCCTTTGGCTGCTAGGAGGCCCAAACTGCCCCCTGCACCCACCGACTTATCTGGAGGTCATTTTCAGGATCCAGCATCTTCAGCAGCCGCCTCTCTGTGAAAACACACCACACTGTTCCCAAGCTGATCTTGCCTAGGGCATCACCGATGGGACAGGCAACTCCCCTGGCTTAAGGATTCTCAGTGAATGTTCTGCTCCTCTGAGAAGTCCCTGTGTTTCCTCATGGCTTCCCTGGAGGCTCAGTGTTAAATAGTCAACTGCAATGTGGGAGACACAGGTTCGATCCCTGGGTGAGAAGATACTCTGGAGGAGGAAATGGCATCCCACTCCGGTATTCTTGCCTGGGAAATCCCATGGACCGGAGCCCAAGGGCGTGGGTGGGCTACAGTCTGTGGGGTCACAAAGAGTTGAACATACTGAGCGACTAAGCACGTACACACATATGCACAGCTTAAGTTTTGCTCTGGACCCTTGTTTCTTTGTCAAGACACTGACCCCTGCCTGGCACTTGTCAGACATCTGTGGCAAATAACACTGGCAGACGTCTTAAAGTGGTTTTTGAGCAATACAGGGTTCTAGGTCTACACCTGGCCTCGATTGGGGCTCTTGTCATATCCAGGGAAAACATCTATGAGTTTGGATAAGGGCAGTGTTTGTGGGGCTTGAGAAAAATTGGATCCAGAGATGTTTCTGTGGTGGAAGAGGCCTGGTTAGTTTATTATATGAGAATGAAGGTTAAGGGAGAGGAAAAGCTGAAGATAATTTAGGAAGGGTTGTTTCACACCTACAAGTTCCGTGTGCTTGTGCTTGGTTTCCTTTCTATTTCCTTTTTTAACATACTCAGCATGTTTTGCCGTAAGTTTCCTTGTGTCTTTTATTTTGAAACTGTCAATAGATTTTATTTTAACCTTTTCCTTTGTAATCCTTTAAGATTTGAATAATATTTGTGAAAATAGTGGAATTCTCATATGCCCTCTCCCAGCTTCCCCTATTCCTAATATCTTACATTAATATGATACATTTATTACAATTAATGAGGAAGTATTGATGCATTATTTATTGTCAACTGAAGCCCACACTTTACTCAGATTTCTATAGGTTTTACCCGCTCCAGGATCCTGGCCAAGAAATCACCCTAACATTTAGTTGTAATGTCTCCTTGGGTTCCTCTTAGCTTTCACAGTTCTGTGTTTTGGATGATCTTGACAGTTTTGAGGAGTACTCAGTAGATGTTTTGAACAATGTCCCTTGATTGGGAGATTTGTCTGATATTTTACTCATGACTAGTCTGGGATTACGAGTTTGGGGGAGGAATATTACAGATGTAAAATCCCATTCTCATCACAGCATAGCAAGTGTGTATTCTATTAGTACAATTCATCATTGGTGATGCTCTCATTGATCATGTGGCTGAGGTAGTGCTTGTCAGGTGTCTATGTGATAAAGTGATTGTTTTATGTCCCCTTTCCATCTGTCCTCTTTGGAAGAAAGTCACGATGTATGGTCCATGGCTTCAGGGGTAGGGAGTTAGACTCCACTTTCTAGAAGTGGGAGTGTCTGCATAAACTGGAATTTTTCTCTGTGGGAGAGTTGTCTATCCTTGTTTGTGGAATTAAGAAATCGTTAATTTTTCTCAGTATGGACTCATGGTATTTATACTGCACTTTGGGTTAAAATCCAATACAACTTTATATACTTTTATTTTCAAATTGTTCTCAGATTGGCT